GAGTTTTTTCAATATGGATAATGTGTTCTTCTCAAGAGCGTGAAAATATAAGTATGTCATCAATATAGTTGATGCAAAATTTGTCCAGATTATTTCTTCTTATGATATTGGATAGAATACGTTAAAAAATTGCTGGAGAATTTTTAAGACCAAAGGGTAAAACCTTAAACATGAATTTTCCATACTTAGTGATAAATGAAATCTTTTCTCTATCTTCCTTTTTTAATAATATACACCAAAATGCAGAATTTATATCAAGTACAGTAAAATATTTGCAATTTGGCACTTTATGATATCATTAATAGTAGGAAATGGATAGCATTCAGGAACTGTTAGTTCTTTGAACAGTTTCTCAATGGTCGTTATTTTTTCTCTATCTAGCTGGTTTTGTATTTCAACAGGAAGGCCCATAACGATCATGTTTATTCTCGACATTTCAATTTCTAAACATAAGTTTTCCTTTGCTAAGGCATTGTCTATTAAAGAACCACCTAAATATTTGTAATTATATGCGGTTATTATTTTTTTCCAACCTCTATCTGCAAAAATGGTCAGAAAGGACTTTCTCCATTCTGACCAATTAGTTAAGCCGATCTTTTTTAAATTTGATTCGTACCAATCTTTCGGTGACCCAGATAAAAAAAAGCGTAATGCTTCTATGACATTAGTAGAATTTAGTATTTTATGCCTTCTACATTAATTTTCAAATTTCTCTATCCATTCAGTAGGGTTTTGCTTTTTGTTGAATTTTTCCAGAATAATTTTTTTTTCAACGTCTTGCAGCTTAAAGTTATCATTCAGACTTAGCTTAGCTTCTAATTCCTTAATTCGTTCATTTAAAAAATTGTCATCTGATTCATCTCTATGTTTATTATCAATAATTTTTTCTTCTAACATATTATCTAAAAAACATAGATTTTCGTCTTCGTCGTAATTTTCTTTTCTTAATTCATCATTGAGTTTGATGCAAATTTTGCGATAACCGTTGATAGGTTTTATAGAATTAATTGTATTGATTATTGCTCGCTTCGTAGATAGAGCTTCGTGCAAACTTAAATCTTTCTTCTAGGACATATCTAGTTTCTTTATTTTCCGATATGCCAGCTAATTCAAATTCGTCATTATTTCTTTTAATAATATGAAAATTCAACTTACTTGTTATTGAAGCCATCTTCTTTTTTGGAATTTAATTTATAAGTTTGCTTTCGAATAACCTGATTTATTAATCTAAAATAGAAAATCTAAATGAGTGAAAAAAGAAAATAAATAAAATCAATTGAAACAATATGAAATGTTACAGAAATTATAAATGAATAACCAACCTAAAATAGAAAAATTAAATTCCAGGATCGTTTACAAAGCCAACAATAATAAAATATAACCACGTGCAATAATAAAATATAACCACATGCTATTTGCATTTATATATAAGATGATACCAAAGTTATGAAACCTAATTTACAAGCACAGAATAGAAATACATAGATAATTATATGAAATATAATTTACACAGACACACACACACATATATATTTATATATATATATACACACACACACACACACATATATATATATATATATATATACGCAAATATCGTTAAATATTTTTGCCCATTTTGCATTAATTAATTTTTTAATAAGGATTTCGGCAACGCGAAGCTGTTTTAATTCATATTTATTATCATTATGTGTCATCCTAGGCTTACAACGTTGTTTCGACATACAGTCATCATCAGAGCCTGGTTTTACTAAATATCAAAAATTGAACTATACTTTTAACATTAAAATCAAGAAATTT